CCCCCCCGCTTAAATCATGTTCACATGGATAGGAAACTAAATGCATTTGCACACATCTTGTGTCCATCCCTTTCTGTTGGGGTGGTCATGCCACACCGTGCACGTGCATGCATACGTGAGTCATGGCCCTTGAGAGGAAAAAGGTTCCCCACCCCTGCAGCAGAGGAACTAAATACTAATAAGAACCTGGAAATGAGCAGAATATTTCCTCTTTAATTAATGTAGAACTCGGCCCACATGCCCAAGCCTCATTTCCAGACAGCTATCCATAAATTGATCTAGAAACGCCATTTAACATATGTTCTCATATGGATATGTGTGCCCGTTCCAAAACTAATTAAATGTGTCATTAGCACGAACGGCAAAGAGGTCAATAGCACCTGAACAGCTCTGTCATTTAACAATCATTAACAGGAAAGAAAATGGCTTGAATGTAAACGAATGTTGATATGCATTAAGTTGCTCTGTAGATTGCAAGAATAGAACCACAATCAGTGAAGGAAACTGCACAAAGCACGTTTTCTATAAGGACTTCTCCACATTCTCCCAACACATTTTTCTTTTATATTGTGCATTTGTATAATTTATACATATGGTGTGTGGTGCTTCTGTTTTTTGGTCAGATGAAAAGCTCGCTAGGGAATGTTGTGTTATTTAACGTTCTGTCCAAAGAATACAAATTGGACAGTGGAGAGACACAAACATTTCAGAGTGAGGGTGTCTTCTGTATGTCTTTCTGTGTGCTTACTATTCCTGCAGTCTTGACTTCACATTGTCCACAGTGCGTTCCCCTCAGTCGGCTTTTTCTCGTCGTCCGAAGACCAGTGGTGGAGGGTAAAGGTGGTGGCTGAGGAGGGGCTAAACACAGCAAATATGCTCTTTAAATCTCAATGTAACTGTTTAGAAAAATCTGTGTGTTTCTGCATGTACAGGAACATGACATACTTGTGTTTTTTCAGCCAAAAATTGACCTGCTTATACAACCAGTTGGAATTTCAGCCAGTTTATATCGAAAATAACAAAAACAGACCTTTTGAAAGTAGCATTTACTGCCTCTGTAATAGTAGCTTTTATGAAACATTCTGATTCAAGGTGCAATTTTGTGCCTCAGGCTTGTTTGAAGCATTAATAATTCTGCCAAGGCTGGTTAGTGGTTAAAGAGCTCCATCTTTAACAGGAGCGCTCCACAGTCTGGCTCCTGTGATGCCGAGTATTCACTGTGCTGAAGTAACTATGAACAAATCATTGAAGCTCTCCCAGGTCCCGGGGTGCTGCGCTGGAGCTGCTCTTGAATGCTAACCTCCATGTTGAGGGTAAAAGAGATTTCAGTACAGGGGAGATAATCAAAAGGAGCCACAGTGTCTCGTCTACCTGGTGCAGATGACCTTGAGCCGAGGTGGTGGCTGTAAACTACCCACCTGTTGGAGGTTCATCCTTCAGCACCCGGATCTTCACCTTTCCTGCTGACAGCTGAAGAGGACACAGAGAGAAACACGTGAGTGTGAGCTGCCTGCGAAGGTATGTGCAGGAAAAAAGTTTGAAAACCAGGAAATGAGTGAGCGTCACACCACAACTCCTTCCCTGCATTTGTAATGTGCAGACAAAAAAAGAAATAGAAACTTGCTAACTGAGATTGTTTGTCTGTCCTAAAGTAAATGGACTGCATTTCTACAGCACTTTTACAGTCTTTGTGACCCCTCAAAGAGCTTTACATATTCAAGTCAGCATTCACCCTTTCAAATACATTCATACAGAGGCAGAGGCTGCTATACAACCTGCTCAGGGAGACTAACACACACACACACACACACACACACACACACACACACACACACACACACACACACACACACACACACACACAAACACACACTACTGAGTATTTGCAGTATTCCTAGACTAAAAGCGAAGTGGAGTGTTTTATAATCTTTAGTTTTCATTCCACTGTATTTTGTCAACAATGCTCAACTTTTGCTCATTCTGACTCTTATTCTATTTAATTTTCAACATTTTACTTCTTTTAACATCCTATAAACACAGTTAATTAAAGAGGCCCTGTTGTACTTATTGGGGTTTCCTCTTTCCAGTGGTGTGTTATACAGCTTTTTGTGCATGTTAATGGTCTGCAAAGGCTAAAATCCCTGTGTTCCCTTCAGAGGAAGTTTCTCTCCCACACTTCTTGCCTGAAAAATCTCCAATAGACTCCTTTGTTTACTTTCGTGACATAGTGACATCACTATGTAAGACTTGCGCTTCTATTGGCTAGCACTCCAGCACATTGTACGTGATGGGCTAAGGGGCGGGACATCTCTAAGTGGTTGACCAATCACAACAGAGCCGGCCAGCTAACCAATCAGAGCAGACTGGGCTCTGGTTTCAGACAGAGGGTGAAAAGAGGTGCTGCAGCACAGGCAGTATGAGAAAAATAAAGAGCTTTTTGAACATTAAAGCATGGAGGTGGACCTGAAAATGAGCAAATGAGCATCCTAATTTTGGTCAATTGCTTGTAACGTACTTCGAAGTGCATTTGATTTGCTCGAAAGATGCTGTGTGAATAAAGTTTGATTGATTTATTGAAGAAAAATGAAATATAATCAAACTTCTAACACTTTATATTACAAGTAGTAACATGTTGTTATGGCCTTCATGCAGAAATAATTATTCAATTGTACTTTATGAATGTGACAAAGACGAACACTGTATTGTGACAAATTGCTAATTTCCCAGAAGTTAAATATTACTATAGCGGGTGGGGTAAGCTGGTAATATAATTTATTTCCCATTACTCAGGTTGACTATTTATTTGCTGTGTCATGATACATTAGCTGCACAGTAAACCATATTTCCCATATAAAAACAACAACGACAATGATTTATAAGCACAATTAAAACAAAAATATACTGTCATATGAAGGGTACATGGTGTTTCTGTGAAATATATAAGCCACATTAAACCTGCACCTGTCACTTTACATGAGCGGGAAACACTGTGTGTCATTATGTTCTATAAAGAATAACTGACTCTTATAATAAACACTAATCTGACGCCTCACAGAAAAACAAGATAAAATACTTTATAAAGTTACACAGAACTTTCCATGGCAGTATATTTCCATGAAAGCCACGTCGATATGTATCTATTATCTTTATTTATGATTTAAATTACATCAATTAATCTTCTTAGACAGCATTTAGAGACATGCTGTTTTAATGGGCAAAAGGGATGTGGTAATGCAAACAGAGGAAACACAAATGTAGAAAAATATCTGGCAGTGAGAGCAGAGCAAGTTAATATTTCAAATGACAATCTTTTACAGCCGCAAGGGAGCTCATATAAACTCAATTATTGTAACGGCAGCAATAAAATCAGATGTTCACAGACTGCAGAGGAGCTGCACACGATATGGAGAAGTCAGTGGTGGATTAGAAAACACAACAGTAGGAAAACTACATTCGTTTTTAGCTAGGCTTTAGTGGGTGGTAATGACTGTCCAACATTTTGCTCAGGACTAAAATATCTCAGCATTTAAAGGAACGACTCACATAACTTTGTGTAAAAGTATTGAAGGATATTCAAGGATCATTTGACAGGATCATGACACAAAATGCAGTTGTAGCTTAAAGTCCATTTACCACATATGGCTTCATGTCTGGGATCAGGGTCTTCAGTGGAATAAAGCTGGAGCTGTGCAGGGATGAGCGGCCATCTTATCATACTGCGTGTGTGTGTGTGTGTGTGTGTGTGTGTGTGTGTGTGTGTGTGTGTGTGTGTGTGTGTGTGTGTGTGTGTGTGTGTGTGTGTGTGTGTGTGTGTGTGGCTCTGACACCAGCTTTCCGTCACTCTAACAGCTACAATCAGTAACAGGATCAAGACTATCAACCCATTAACCAAAACTGCTTTGTTTTCTACATCCAATGTCAGTAGCCTACATGCTAACTCTGCCCTATAGTTCCTTGTTCTCCTTCTTTTATAAAACATGTGCTTTCACAGGGTGGATAAAACACTGCATTGAACTGCGAGGGAAGCGGCAGCCCCATCTTCTTTAAGCAGCAGAACCCTGAAAGCTATCGCACTTACACAAAGGAGGAGAGAGCTATAATTGCCAGAGCTGGGCTAAACCATGCAATTAGCTTCAAATGACAAGACGGTCTGCAAGCTGAAATTATCCAGTTTCCAGAGCGTCTCCGAGAGAGACCGTGGCGTGTCTCACAACCTTTCACAGATGAGGAAGAAAGGAGGCGGAAAAGACAGGAAAAGGGGAAAGATAAAGACAAGGCCCCTTGCTAAAATGCTTTACAGAGAGCGTAATTAAAACGGGGCGACATATCCAGCGGAATAATGACAGTCAAAGTGAATATGAAGCAGATGAAACAATGGAGCAATCCAACGCTTCTCTTTCATCCTGACATTGTAAAAGCTGTGGGTCATTGCAGATTTCAACTCTCGGATGTCTTTTGTTTCACGCATAATCTGTTTCAAAACGACTTGGGGGGTTGTTTCTTATTGTTATTCCAATGTACCTGATAATATGATTTATCTATTGCCCATTTATTTTGTGTTGCGTTCATATGAATTTGCTCGATATGCAGTTGGCCCATCGCTGCTGAATCTACTCTAATTTAAGCTCAAAGACCAGATGCCCATGTTGCTTGATTTCTTTCAGCCAACTGACAAGATGCTTCAGCTGGCCTGCAATTAAAATTAAATATGCAGTTCAGCTGCTCCCCAAGCAAAGTACTGCCAAACCCCTATTTAAAAATGAAAGTGCAGAAAAATACCACTTTGTTCTAGACGGAGAGAACACAATGCTTGAAGACTTAAAAAGACACATTTCAAAGGCTAGAGCAGGAAGAGTTGTTCTTTTCACTTTAACTTTTAGTCTAATGGGAGCAATCAAGTTTATCTCTTTTCATTTTATTTAAAAATAACGGTGTTCACTTTTACCAAACAGACTGTCTGTACTGGCCGTTCTACCTGAAAAAGAAGCCCCAAAGTCCTCCAATCTGCTCTTCTCCCAGCAGGTTAAATGTAGAATCCAGCATAAATTGCCGCCATGGCCATTTGTTTATTAGCTTAAACAGTATAAGGTATAAGACCATAAAGACAGTTGTTGTGCAATATGTAAATGCACGCCAAAAATAGGAAATATTACACTGCTTTAAGATGAACAACTGCAGAAGAATGGAAATCGAGGTACTATTAAAATAATTTAAACAAAGTATACATGATTTTCCAGAGTGTCAGTACTGGGGCTACAACAAAAACAAAGACACAACAATTAAACAATACATTTGTGCTTCTGTAAATGCCCTGTGAGCAAGTAGGCGAACATTAGATTAAATTAAAAGAGAAAATTGCTAAAAAGCTAAAGCTAATTAAAAACCCATTGCCGAAGACGGTCAGTTCATGAAATGTTCAGTATGTGGACTGGGCAAGGTTCTGGCTTCGGAGCATTCAGATGTCTGTTTGTTGTCAGAGTAGTCTTTTATCCAATTACATTCAGCAGGCTTTGGTTGAATGCAGGCACACAGTCCCAGTTGAAAGCAAAAGAGCACATTTCCTTTCATTCACTTCTGTTTTAAATAAAACAGATCAAACAATAAGAAACGATTTCAGTAAAAAATGGAACTGACTCTTATGGAATTCCTTATTTATTAATGAACACCATTTAAAGTTCAGATTTCTGTTACGCCAAATGTCACTATGTACAGTCTTAAATGGTTTTACAGGAGCACAAACACATCCATGTGCTCGAGCACTTCATAAGCAGTCGCTGCCGAACGATGATGCCATCTACGTAGGGTGGGTCCACTAGTCGTCTGGCATTTCCTCCAAAGGGTGTCTGGGGTTTGTCACATGGCCACATCGTTCAACTTTCAGCAGACAATTGTATTTAAGCTTGCTCTGAGGTGCATAGAAGCTATTCTGCAGTAGAGCTAAGACATATCATGTATCGTGTTCCCTCTACCACAGAGTCGATCGTTTTGCAAATGCTGCTTTCTGTGCTGGAGACTAGCGAGTGGTGTCAAAAGCCATGGAGGCATGGTGTAACCTCAGTCACCTATGTTACGTAAAAGAAAGTTGAGTTTTTATATAAGATTTTGAATAACATTCCTCATAGTTAAAAATGTCTCACCAATCAGCCACCCATCTCCACCACTCCTGGAGCTAGACACATTCCCACTGAGCAGCAGTACAAAGGAGTCGGAGCAGATTACAATAGGGGAATAGTAATTTAGAAAATGCTTTGATGTGTAGATGGTGCAGTCTGCAGTGCCAATGCTATTTATGAGTCCAACTTTAGCATAAACTCTTAACTTTTGTCATTGATGAGCACTGTACAAAAAGGATATGTCCTGGGTTCTGAAAGATGGGATAGCTTTGAGAGCTCTTAGAAGCAGACTGAAATGCATGATCTGCCTCTCTGAAAGGATCCTGTGGCTGAATCTCCAAGTGCAGTAAGTA